AGACTTTGAGGGGCAAATTGAGAGTACTTGGCCAGGGTGTGCACTTGCCCAGAAGTCAGATGTATGGAAAGCAGGAGGAAGCAATGCCTGGGGGGAAGACCAAGGCGAGGAGGCGACTCTTGAGCTCAGGCAATCCACCTGCCTCGGCCTCCCAGAGTGCTAGGATCACAGCGTGAGTCACTATGCCCGGCCCACTGATCCAATTTCTAACACCAGTAGAAATGATTCTACACTCCATTTTGAAATAGACAATATAAACAAAAGGCCTGGATAAGTGTTCCCTACGTGCCTTCAACATTGAACGCTTCTGGTCTGTGACCCCTTCCTCTGTTCTGAAGGGTCTGTCCCTGTACATTGCTCTCTCCCCTCCTGTTGAAGTGTCTGTCCTATTGCCTGACACTTCTCTGTCACTGTGTCTGTCCCTGAGCACAACCTCCCTGGGATCCATAGACCTGGCTCTTCCCCAGACTCACCTAGCTTCTCCCTGGCTCTGCCCATGTTTGCTGCCTAATACCCAGAAGCCTCCACTCTCCCTGGACTCAGTTCCTTGTTTTGCATCAGTCACCTGTGTCACCTGATGCCCAGAAGTGACACACTCACTCCCTGCTGGCCAGACCTGAAGGTCAAATGAACTGATGGTTTAGAAGTTTGATTCGTGATGGGTAATTTTGTCCCAGCTCTTTTGATGGGTAATCAGTAGACAGAATCCAGAGAAGTCAGCCTAATTCCTTTGTTATAGATGCCCTAAAGTAGCAACGAAAACAATTTTATGGTTGGGGGTCACCACAACATGAGGAACTGTATTAAACTGTCATGGAATTAGGAAGGTTGAGAACCACTGCCCTAAATCAATCAGTTTTCTATGCCTGGATGGGAGTGAGGTATGGGCATTTGATCAATTGCTTAGTAATTATTGACACAAATAAACCCTACAATGGCTGGTTCAGTCACGCACAATAACCGAACTACCTAGTTCTGTTTGTTCTCTAGAAATAAATAAAATGGCATTTTAGGAGTCATTTTTACAGACCATTAGAGGCTGGGCAGCAAAATAAGTATCTCTCATTCCTTTGAGCCCAGGAGAAGCATAAACTAGACTGCTTAAAACGTCTTCCCCTAACTAAACTTATATTGTGAGCCAGTTAGTATGTATATTATCTGCTGAGGCAGGTAACATTACCGTCTGTGCTTTCCTGGTCCATCAGGCTTGTTCTCTAAAAGCTGGTCTGAGAACCTACTGCATCACTGTGGCAGAGACGGGGCATGATAGGGCTCCCAGCGGAATCAGAGAAGGCATAAATCATAATTAAAACCCAGTTGGCACCTGTGCTTGGGAGAAGGGACTGGAGAAGGCCAGAAGATAACTCATTACCCTCTGCATGAAACCCTTCTCTCTCTCTGGCCTAAAACTTCAACTGCAACTGGGCAGGAAGAGTGGTCCTAAAAAGCACCTTTACTCCTATTGGAGGACTATGCCTTCTAGAAAACCAAGGTACTAAGGAGAAGCTTGTAGAATATTCTCTCACTGATTAAATTTTCTGCTTCTATTTTCTTGACTGTTATTTAACCAGCACCACTCATAGTTGCTTTTCTGATTTCCCCCTTGCAAACAGTATGAGTCCTGTTAATTCCAGATTCAAAGAATTCTCTGACTGAGGCATGCTCCCAGAGCACATCCCATTCCAGGTCTACCTGAGAGGGAGAAAAGCTGAAAGTATCATAGTGTAACATGAAAAAAAAAAATACAATGGGGCAGCGCCTGTGGCTCAAAGAGATAGGGTGCTGGCCCCATATGCTGGAGGTGGTGGGTTCAAACTCAGGCCCAGCCAAAAACTGCAAAAAAAAAAAAAAAAAAAATATAATGCCTTAGAAACATCTAGTACTTTACTATTTATCACGTATTTTTGCATATATAATTTCAGTTAATCCTCATAACTTTGTATGGTTTTGTTATCCTCATTTTTAAAAAATGATAAAAATGGGCTCAGAGAACCAATGTGGCTCACCCGAGTTCTCCCACTGACCTGACCCCGGTTATGCTGATTCCACAGGCCAGTGCTCTGTCCATTAGATAACCTTGTCATCATCATCATTCTCATCATTTGGGGGAACAGGGGATGGCTGTACAGAGTGTGGATGATGCCGTCTCGTCTTCTTAAAAATCTCTAAGCTAAGCAACTCTGCCTTATTCTGGTTACTGTCCAGGGGGCTCATCTTCCAAATGAATGGCTTCTCTGCTAAATCACCCCAGCACCTCCTCACTGCCCAGCGCCTTCCTCCTCTGCTGACGTTGCCACCTAATTTAGGGAGCCTCCCTGGCAGGCTGGCATGGTGCAGGCAGCCCCCAGCCTGCCTTATCCCTCTCCCTGCCTCTATTTCCCAGGCTTCCCAAATGGAGCACAACTACACTATAATCTTTCTTTGCTCTTCTGCCAACTTGCCCAGGCTCCCCCAGATGCCTCCTTACTTTAAGCAAATGCTTATGCATTGCTCTGGGAATAGTCTAATCCTTTTCTCTCTTTTTACATATTAATGCTCTGATTTGTAGCAGCACTGTTAGATAGGGAAAAAAAAACACACAAAGAAGTTCATCTGTTGTACATTTTGAGGGGCAGGAGAAGGGCTTCTGGGGTGCTGGTGATGTTCTATTTCTGGAGCTGGGTGCTGCTTACACAGGTGTGCTCACTTGGAGGAAGTTTTTTAAGCTGTGCACATATAATATGTTATAATTTTTCTTCTATAGGCAGGCTAGTTTTCAACAAAAAGAATTCTAACAATGGAGCAGGCAGTTTTACGGTAGTCGCGAACTAGCTGTATCCATTCAAGTTCAAGCAAAGGCTGAATGATCCCCTGGCAAGCCTGGTGTGGTATTAGTCCCTACTCCCAAAGAAAAGGCACATCTGGATTCCTCTAAGGTCTATTTCAACTCCGAGAGCAAAGGCTTATAGGATGCTTCGGGGTTAACAATTCCACAGCTGCCCCAAGAAAGGATTATTCATAAACAACTATCATTGGAAAAGAACAAGGACTCCGAGTCCAAGCCATGGTGGGCAGCCTCTCGTAAACCACACAGGATATTCTAGGAGACCTTCTCCCTAACTCCAGGAGGGAGACTGCCTGATATCCTAAATTACCTCATTGCACACTTTCCCCAAAGATGTCTTTACTTCTGGGTAACCTTTTTCAAGATTGAAGAATCAAATCTATGAGGCTAATATTGTTCCGTTACTTATCAAGGCTCTTTTGACTAAATGAGAACTGCTTCAAATCCTCTAAACAGGTTACTTTCAAGGCTGGATGGAAACACATTAATGAGTAACAATTAGCACGCATGTTCCTGGAATAGTCCATAAGTTTTAAGAGACTGTCTCGTGGACATGCCACGGACCTTCTCATCTCTAAGTACGTAGATATGCTGTTACTTATCTAAGAATGCTTGTCTTTTCTTAGTTTACCTAAAAAACTCCCTACCCATCTTTCAGGGCAGAGCTTCAAGGCTCCTTATTCAATGAGACTTCTCCTGATGGCCCTACGTTGAACAAGAAGCAGCTCTTACTCTAGGGTTTGGACCATCCTGTAAACACATCCAATAGCTGAATTTGTCACTTTGCCCTATAATAGGTACTTTGATTTTTCCAAGGCTGGCTTGGTTTCTTACTCTCCATTCAATCCTGAAAGCCCAATGCCTGTACGTAGGAGGTGTTCAAAAGCACGAGTGAATAAAGAGGCCACCTTGTCAAGTGATTTATAAAACGAAATCAACCTCTTCTCTGAATGATTGTTTGTAATAGCTCTATTTGTAATGGCCAGGATTTGGAAAAAACAAAAATGACTCTCCATAGGTGAAGGGTTAAACAAACCATGGCATATCCATACCATGAAGTAACACTCGGTAATAAAAATCCAGCAACTCAGATGGATCTCAAGGGCATTACACCGAGTAAAAAACACCAACTTCAAAAGGTCACTGTAGAATTCCACTTATATAACATTCTCACAATCATAAAATATAGAAATGGAGAACAGATTAGGGGAGGCTGAGAGGTAGGGATGGTGGGGAGGAGGTGATGGGTGTGACTATGAAGCGGTGGCAGGAGGGAGCTATTTGTGTGGATGAATCGTGGTACCTTGCTTGCCGTGGCACACAACTCTACATGTTTTCATAGAGTTGCCATTCTGACATCCTGGTTTTGATGTTGTGCTGTCCAGTGATGTCACCACTGGAGGAATCTGGGTTAAGGGTACAGGGGACCTCTCTGTACTACCTTTACAACTTCCTATGAATTAATAATTATTTCAAAATAAAAGGTCATAATTTTTTTAAAAACGTTGTTTTCTGAGGTCCACAGTATGCCCACATGTCACCATAATCTTTCTCATTTCTTAATGCTTGCAATGTCAAAATGGTTCCACATAAGTTAAATTCTATCATTTCAAAATTATAGGAACTGCATGCATAGGAACCCCATTTTTGTAGATAAGAATGCCAAGGCTCTGTGCTTTGGGGAAGGGCACATGGTTGGTAAGTGGCAAAGCTAGTGCTCAAACATGATTCAGTACAACTTCCATAGACCTCAGTTTTCTCATCTGCAGAATAAGGGAATTTGACAAAGATGGTACCTGAGGCACGCATATTTGCCATCCCTTAGATTTCCTACTTCTGAGTGGAAGCACAAGAGTCTGACAATATAGAAACTGGACTGCAACCCAGTAACTGGACCTACCGAGGAGGCTCACCCATCCTGCACCAGTCCAGAGAAAGTAGCACCATGTAGCTAGCGGTGTCTGAATGGAGGCATTACACTCCCCCCAAGCCCCATGCTTCTAAAGCTAAGAACTTCGGGGATGAGAATCCCAGTGGGCTCTTGGACATGTTTACAGGACAGTCCCTCTCTCCAGTCAGCTTCTGCTCCTCTGGGCTTCATCCTGTCACATTCCACTCACCCTGACCACTTACAACACTCCCTATGGCAAAGAGGTGAGCTATGAAAATGTCTTACCAGATTAGTGAAGATGTATGTGTAATAGGCTGACACCATCCCAAGTTCAGCCGCCTGCAAGGTGAAGAGAAGAAGATTAGAGAAGAAAACAAAAGCCCACGGGAAGCAAATGAGCAGTGAGGGCTCCAAGTATCTGCCATTTGTCTGACCTGTTGCCCTTTGGCAGGGTAGAACACCTTGGCTGATTCTCATGTTGCCCTTGATCTTCAAGGGTGGAGCCCAGAAACTTTGGTCTTCAGAGAAGGGTTTTTCCTCCTTCACCCTGCTCCCTCCCACAGCAGTGACATGCATAGTAGCTGATATTCTCATACGGGACACACTCCCATGGATACAACCAGATATTATTGAAACCAAAATGACTTTTAGAGAAATGAAGCACATAATGAAACAGACTATAATAATCATCTACACAACTATTGACAACAACAACAGCCAACACCCACTGTTCGGTATGTGCCAGGCACCATAAAGCATTCTACATGGGTTAACTATACAAGGTGGGCACTTTTATCCCTTCCCCAACCCCCTACTGCAATTGAAGAAATTGACACAACAAAAGGGTAACTTGTACAAGATCACATGTCTCACAAACAGAAAAGATGAGATTAAAGCCAGGTAGCTTAATTTAAGCACTTTTATCCAACTATACCCCCCGCCCCCGTCCCCCTCAAGGATCGTGATTTTGATGGACTGACAGACACAACTAACTCTCTCAAGGGCTGTGGCATAAACAAGAGAGTCTGTAGGTTGTAGGCAATGCCCCGATCAACTCCACCCCTGTCAGAATGCAGGTGAGACTCTAAATAAGAGAATTCTTAGGTTTGTAGTAATACAGGAAACAAATGAATAATTGACAAACTCTAGTCCTTTATTAGTAGTAGGAAACAAGTTTTCTGTGTCATGCCTCACCTTTGATCACAGTGCACTGGGGGGGGCATCATTCCCCAGTTGAGAATTGCCCCTTCAAAACAGTATCCTTTTGTCTGATCTTTGTACCCATCATCAATACTCCTACCCAACTTTCCCTGTCAGTGTGCCTGGCTTTGAGCGTGACAGGTACGATAGAAACTGACAAGTAGATCAGGTAAATAATGAGCCCTGCTTTCTCCAGGGCCCTCATCCCTCCTGACAGTTGGTTAGATTTTCATAATGCATCCTGCAGCCCTGGGCCAGAGGGAGACCATTTTTGTCATGACTATCAAGGTAGATAGAGGAGAAACGAGACCAGGGATGATTACATTTTTTTCTTAGGTTTGTCTCCCAAGGAACTCAAATTACAATGTGGCCATTCTTACCCCCAAATTCTTGCAGGGTCCCTGAGGAACAGACTAGGGGGTTTTATTTCACCATCATTCCTGGGAAACTAAGGGGCAGAAAGGCTTAGTGACTAGTGATGGGGGCAACAGCACTCAGGGGACACAAGGACTCCTCTGTCCCCTATGAGGCTCCTTCTTCCTCCAAGCAAAGTTACATTCCCTCCTTCACCTCCAAGATGATGATGTGACAGGATGACCACCCTCCATCCCAACCCTTACCACACACACTCAGACCTCTGCCTGTCAGCTGCCTAGACCAACACTGGCCCAGTGACATGAGCCCACTGCTTACAGTGACGGGGGCACTGCGAGAGAGCACAGTCAGAGCGTTAAAACCCATTTTGTGAAATCTGCTGTCCTAGAGATAAAAGACAAGAGATCCTTGGTTTTTAAGGCCTGAATTCTGAGTAAACATGGAGTTCGTTGCTGGAACAGCCGCTCAATAAAGTCAGGGATTACTCTGCAAATCCTCCTGAAATCAAGAGACAGCAGAGTGCTGCCAAGCTTGGGGGCTGGGCTCCCTGGTGCACACTGAGTCTCCCCAGAGGCCCTGCGTGCTCTGTGCCTGCTCGGCTTCCCACACTGAGCCCATCCTTGCTGAGGCCAAAAATGCCCTATTGTATCCCCCACCCCAGATGAAGGAGTATGGAGCCTCACAGAAGCATGAGGACAGAGCCTGCCTGGGCCTCTTGGAAACCAAATGAGAACAAAGGGAACAGACTTTCCTAAAACCTGGCTGCTCATTGATCACTTTGGCTCCAAGGTCAAGGGGGCTGGAGCTGACCCATGGGATCTGGAGAGATGGTCAGGAGCACTCAGTAGAACCATTTGCCAATAATGATTGCTATAGGCAGAGCTTCCTTCAAAAGCACGGCCAGAGAAAAACAAAACGAAAAACCACAAAGTGTTTTTAATGAAAATACGCAGAATTGTTGGCAAGGAGTGTTAAAAGATACCTAGACGCTGCCGGTGAAAGTGTAAACTGTTACAGGCTTTCCTAAAGGCAATCTGGTAAATCACATCAAAATCTTTAAAAACATGCATATATTTAACTCAGCAATTCCACTTCTAGAAATTCGTGATGAGGAAATATTCATGAATGTGCCTAAAGATTTATGTATGAAGATGTGCACCCCAGAGCATTATTTATTGTAGCAAAAGATTGGAAACAACCTGTGTCTCCAACCATAAAAGGATGGTTAAATAAATTATGGACATCTGTATGATAGGAAATGATATAGCCATTAAAACATTTGTAGGAAAATGTTTAATGGCATGGGGACGCTGCACGACATCGAATTAGAAAAGCAGCTTACAGAAAAGTTTGTGCAGTGTTATAGTAATTTGGGGGGGGGATGTGTCTGTTAAGCAGAAAGGATTGACATCAAAATTTAATAGTGGTTAGCTCTGGGTGATGGGATTGTAAATAATTTTTATTTTTTTCGATGCACTTTTCTCTACTTTCCAACATTTCAATAATGAACTAGTCATATTATTGGGGGTAAACAGCTCATCCTCATGTACTAGTTGCCATGGGTTCCTAGAAGGGGCTGACCCTCAAAGAGTCTTCCCTGGGGGCGGCTCAGGCAGGCTCCAGCTACCCATGGTGAACTGTCCGTTCAAAATTGCCCTCCACAACGAGGCCGTAGGGACATCTATCTACTACCCACATTCCCTAAGGAGGACCCCTGAGCCTTCATCTCTCCTCTCTTGAAACTTACAAGCTTTTCCATCCTTAATGACTTCATTGATCATAGCTCCAGGCATAAGAGGAGCAAAAGGAAGAAAAGAGAAATGTTCTGTTTGAATGTGCGTGTATGTGTGACACGGAATGTATGTGAGTGGGTATACACACCCAGACAGACATGGCTTTGGAGTGCTGGAAAATTACTATAGCAACGGGCTGAAGGGACAGCCTTCAGTACTGAGAGAACTCATTCAAATCTCTTATTAACTCTGAGACAAAAACTAGCTTGGGAAGGGGGATGGGGAGGAGGGAGGGAGAGAGAGGGGAACAGACAATCAGGCAAGTGTCTGCTGGGCTCCTCACAGCTTGGCAGAGGTTAACGAGGGGCCTCGCTCCCCCAGTGGAAGATGGCAGGTTGCGTTTAAATGTGCAATTAAAACCACATTAGAAAAGGCCAGAGCGCCTGGAGAGGGTGGCTGAGCTGCTGAGGAGCCTGGAAGCAGGGTCCGTTCCCTCCAAGGTGCATGCCTGGCCCAGCCACCAGCCCAGGAACTGGTGCCAGGTGACTGAGAGGCTGTCCCGCTATTTGTCCCATGTGGGCCAGACACCTGACTTCACTCTCTTGGACTGGCCTTGCTCAGAGTCCTGGTTTCTGAGTGCCCATGTTTGAATCCAGAGGCCGGCACCCTGCCCCTCTGTGTCTGGGAGCACAAGAGAAACTGCCTGATTTGCAGGTGAGAGAGGACTGAGAATTCTCAGCTCTTCTCATTTGCCTGGGCCTTAGACAAATCCGTTCATCTCCCAGAGGGAAGCTATTTCACCTTCTGCACGTCATCTCTGAGAAATTACACAGGAGCACTTGGCAAATGTGTACACTGTGCCAGGATTAAAGACAGAGCTACGTTCAGCAAAATATGCACTGGTGTGCTTTGACTGGTTGTCAAAATATGGAAATAATTCTGTACTGCTTGGCACACAGGGTCTGCCCCATTCCCTCCAGCCCTACCCCACTCTGGCCCATCCTAGGACCCTGTGGACTCTCTGCAGAGCCCCAGCTAGAATTAGCTTTGGCTGAGTCTCTGAATCTCTGTTGCCTGTTCCCCTGTTGCCCCCAGTGCTGAATATTCTTAGGACATCACTGTCACCTACTTTCTCCTTTTAGCTTTCTGGAACTGTTCATTGAAACAGAAGCACAGGGAGAGGTCTGTTCAGGCCTCCGTCAGCCATGGCTCAGGAGGACACACAAGGGACAGTGGTGCATGGGGAGGAGAAGGGAGGGAAGGAGGCTCAGCACCCACCACGGCCGCCCCGCCCGGCTCGCACCTTCAGGAGGATGGTGTGGGACATGGAGGCGTTGGCGTGGATGATGATGGTGGCTGTCTTGTCGTCTCGGATTTCCTTGAGGAGTGGGGTGGGGTCCCGGGTGTCATCCAGCATCCGGACCGAGAGTGTGTCCTTGGAGATAAGGAATTGCCGGAGCAGCTTCTCTAGGTTTAAAAGGCCTGGAGGGGAGACAGGATGAAGCCCTCAGTCTCCATACAGCCCTCAAGAGACATCTGGGCAGAAACAGGACAGATGCTTGGGCTGGACACAGGATGGTGGTCTGGTCCCACTGCGGGTGCTAAGGAGTTATACCATCACCTGAGCGGGGTTCTCAGCCTCTCTAGGCTTCAGTTATCCCATCTAGAATAAAAGGGCTCCCATTATCTACCCAGATTCCTTGGATGCTCTTCCATAGAGGAGCAGGAAGCTTCATGGGCAGAATAAGGGAATCCCCATCTCTTCCCATGGCCCCTAGAAGCAGGACACACAGTGGCCGAGACCCAGGGTCAGAGACCACCATGTCTGGATATCTTTCCCCAATTCTAGGACCTTTTCATGTGGCTAGGTGTCTTGGCCTCAGTTTCCTCATCAGAGAAGTAGAAATAACAACGGCCAGCTTGTAGGTCTATGGTAAGAGTTAAAGGTCATGTGTAAAGTGCTTAGGCCTGAGACTTAAACGCGGTACATTCTCATAAATGTTCTGTTGAGCTCTATAAAAGGCTTTGCTTTCACTTTGGACCTGGGGGATCTTCCATTCCCAAGATCCAGAAAACAGGTCTAGCAAAATCCTTTGAACTGCTCAGAACCTCGTGGCTGCATCCAGACAAGAAGGTATTATTATAGTAAGATCGTAAAAGAACAAGCTTTGAACTGCACTTTAGCAGGCAAGAATCTGGGTGGACCCAGAACAAAATGGAAAAATGGGACTGTGTGCTAAAATCTCCCCCTCCTCTCCTTCACCCCTAGCTTGCTACCTAGGGGCCTGAGTGGGAGGAGGGGTTGAAGAATGATGTCACTGGGACAAGAGGGTCTTAATTCTGCCTTGTCTTTGCAAAGACAGGCCAGGGGAGGGCATGTACTCAAATGGATATGGGGTGGAGAGGGAAGCAGCTCCAACAGAGAGAGACATGTAGGCATTTGCTCCTACAAGCAAGGACAAGAGTAACATTTATCGAACGCTCATTGTGTTCCAGCTAATGTGCTAAAAATTTTACATGGCTTATCTCATGTAAGTCCTCACAAGAATCCTATAAAGTATATAATCCCCAGCACAGTGGAAAATGGGAGGCAGGGGAGATGAGCAATTTGCCTCACACATGGGGGTGGCAAGTGCAGGGCTGATTTTCTCAGTAGTCCAAGGTCCCATGCTGCCAGTCTCTGTCCAGACTGACGGAAGAGTCAACTCAGACGTCTTGACCACAACCCCTGACTCTGCCCTGCACAAGTTGCTCATGGTCCTGACCCTCAGAGATTAGAAGGTCAGGGAGAGGGAGCCCTAAAGAGTGTTATACCTCCCTCCTGTGGTGGTACCCAGGTGACATGACTTACCCAGTGCATAGACACAGGGACTAGAATTCTGGCCTCTGTCTTCTAGTCTCCATCCAACCCCTTTCCCACAAACCAGGCCACCTCTGAGGACAAATTCAGCAGGAAAGAGCAGGCACACGGCCCAGCAAGACCCAGGGACACGTATTCCAGGACTTAGAAGAGAAAAGCCCACGCTTGGTATGGTTTTTTAGCAAGAAAAAGAGAATAGCAGGGTTGGAGCCCAAGAGCCTGGCCTGATGAAGACAGGACCTCTGGGAAGGTGTTGCCAAGCCCTGTCTTCCTGTCACCTGTTTGGAGAAGGCTTTCTAGGGAGTTGGAGGCTGTAGCAGATCCAGGAGAAACCCCGGGAGGGTCTCTTATTTACAAAGAGGCTTCAGAAACAACCCAGCTGTGCAAACCATGGCATGGAGTTTGTCTTTTCTCCCTTCCCCGATGAGGTTTCAACTAAGACATGTAAAGATTATTGCCCTCTGTGCCTTTCACAGCCCTCCCCAGCAGCCCCCAGCAGCAGTGGCACTGATACTGCTGGGGTCCTTCCTTCCGGTCCTGATCTAGAAGGTCTGGATTTGTACTCAGGGTCAGCCCTCTCTGGCTATTTGACCTTGAGAAGCCATCTAACCTCTCTGAGGCTCTATTCTTGATCTGTGCAATGGGTGCAAGAGGGTAAGAACTCAATGAGTTCATACAAGAAAATTCTGGGAACTGGGATGTCTTTGTCCTTGTTATTTCAGTAGTGTTTACTTACCTGACAAGCGTGCCAAGGGCAGGTATGGAGAAGCAGATGAAGTTAGGGAAGAATACACCTGTTCACCCAACATTCACTGGCATGTTCTAGGTGCCAGGTAACTGTGCAGACAGGACACCAGGCAGAGAAGATGGGTTAGAAACAGTCCCTGCCCTCAGGAGCTCAGGGTCCAGGCACTCAGAGCTAAGTGAATGATGAAATTCAAATCACATCCCTATTTTATTTGGCAACTCGGATACAAATTTTTTTAGTGTGGTAGCCTCATTCTGTCCTATATGTAAAATGGAGAGAATGTTCCCCACACCTTCCTGAGAGGTGATGTGAAAGGTGAGGTGAACTCCAGCCTGGACAAAGGCCTCAGCACCTGATCCAGGGGTGAAGGGCGCCACGGAGCGGCTGCTCCTGAGTATCAGCACACCCTAGGCATGCAGTGAGAGAGGGAGCCCGCAGCTGAGGGGGTGAGCCAGGGAGGGGCAGCAGGGGCGAACCCCATGGGCCCTCGAATGGAGTGTGGAGAATCTTTAGAGTCTGGCTGGGAAACAGGCCAAATCCCCTGGGATTCTTCAGACAGGCAATGAACTCAGTGGGACGAGACAGGAAAGCCCGAGGGATGACAGTAGGATTATGCTCAGCATGGCGATTCCTGGCAAAGGCGGCCTGGGGACGCTTGATCCCTTTAAAACTGGCAGGTATGCCGAGCCCTCCAGGTGTCAGATAAACTGGGGACCCTGTTCCAATCATTCCCCAGCTTGCTACCCCTTGGGCGGCTCTGCTGCCCTTTAAACAAAGAACAGCATTATTCCTCTCTCCCTGCCAACACATTCCTAGTTGCTGAGAGGCGAGGCAGGGAAGGAACAGGAAGGGAAGGAGGGAAGGAGGGAAGGAGGGAAGGAGGGAAAGAAGGGCAGCCAGTGCAGGGCAGGGGGCGTCTGCACCCCACCCAGAATCTCCTATCAAGTCATTTCTTTCCCCAACCTGACAGCACAAAAATCTCAGTGTTGGGATGCAAATGGCAGCTCTAGCATGCCCACCCCTGCGCACCCCAGCGAAATGAGAATGACTATCTTAAAGGGTTATTAACAGGATGTCAAGTATGTAGATGGTGCTGTCACCTAAAGGGACTCAGCCAATCTTGTTTCCCACTCAATTTCCGACTGCTTTGCACCCCACATCCTCCCCTAAACCTTCTCGCCATTCTCCATCCTTCACCCACTTCTCCCAACTCTTACAGGATTTATTATCCAACCCACAATAGATAGCTTTGATTTCAAACTATATAAAATGTTTTATAGCAAATTTATATTTATGTATATATATATATATGAGAGACAGTTTCATTCTGTGTGTATATATATATATTTATAATATATAATACACACATGAATTATTTCAGTGCTAGGTAGAGATCCCATTTCAAACTTCTCTGCACAATCCCAGTGCAGGCAGGGTGCACAGTGCTTACCGGACAGGACTTATCTAGAGTCTGTAGGGGACAAAAAAGACTGTACCCTAACAAGCAGAGAAGCAGCAATGTCAGGTAGGAACCGTCACCATGTCACTTGAGGAGCAGAAGAAGGAGGTCTGTCACAAGGCAGACTTGGTCTTGGCAGCCTTAGGGATCACACCCAGGAACACTGAGAGATGGAGGCTATTGAGAGATGGACTCCAGCTCAGTGTATAGAAGAACCTTTCCTTTGTGATGTGGTGGGCTGCACTGAGGTAGTGAGTTCTCCATCTCTGGAGGGAATCAAGAATAGACTGAAGCCCTGCTTGAGAATCACTGCAGAGGGAGTTAAATTAGTAGATGGAAAATTGAACTAGAAAAACATTGATTTGGGATGGCACCTGTGGCTCAGTGAGTAGGGCCCATATACCAAGAGTGGTGGGTTCAAACCCGGCCCCAGAGTAACTGCAACAAAAAAATAGCTGGGCGTTGTGGCGGGTACCTGTAGTCCCAGCTACTCGGGAGGCTGAGGCAAGAGAATCATCTAAGCCCAGAAGTTGGAGGTTGCTGTGAGCTATGTGACCACAGCCCTCTACTAAGGGCAATAAAGGGAGACTCTGTCTCTAAAAACAAACAAACAAACAAAAAATACCATTGATTTCTTTCCAGCCCAGAGATATTCTAATTTTATGAATCAGAAGAGGATGCTTTTTAATTCTAGTCAATAGAAGAAATTTGTAGAAGAAGTGTGGCTTAGTTACATTAGGAATATCAGGAATTTTTCACTGCAGTTTGAAATCTTCCTATCATCATTCTCCTCATCTGTTTAATGGAATAAAGGGACTTACCAAAGGCAGTTGCCACCAGAGGGGTTAAAAGCAGCTCTGGTCCTCTGCACCTCCTCCACTTCCACCCCAATGCCCCTCTCCTACAGAACTCCTGGCCCTGCATTGGGTCTGTCTGCCAAGGTGAAGGCTGAGAGGGATCTAGGGAGCCTGTTAGTATGGCTCAGATTGCAGCAGGATGGATCCACAGAAGTCTCAGTGGGCAGGTGTTCTGGGAGGAAGGAGGGAGGCAGGGCACCAGGAGGGGTAAGAGGAGGATAGTTAGGGCTGGACACAGACATAGGACAAAGACACAGATATGTAGGTGATGGGTTTCCAGGGGACACAGAGCATGCTGGTATCAAAAAATAAAGAAAAAATCTAGGGCTGGGCATGGTGGCTCACGCCTATAATCCTAGCACTCTAGGAGGCTGAGATGGGTGGATTGCCTGAGCTCACAGGTTCAAGACCAGCCTGAGCCAAAGTAAGACCTCATCTCTAAAAATAGCTGGGTGTTGTGGTAAACTCCTGTAGTCCCAGCTACTCAGAAAGCTGAGGCAAGAGAATCACTTAAGCCCAAGAGTTTGAGGTTGCTGTGAGCTATGATGCCACAGCACT